GGGAGACATCATGTACACAGAGTTGAGTATCTTATGTAAACATCATGTACACAGAGTTGAGTAATTTAAGTAAATAACATGTACACAGAGTTGAGTACTTTAGGTAAATAACATGTACACAGAGTTGAGTACTTTAGGTAAATAATATGTACCCAGAGTTGAGTACTTTTTTTATTCCTGTAAACTCCCAGTGGAGCATTGGGCCGTAACAACACCTCACCAACGGCAATAGTTTGTAAACGTCACCTGGATACTTTGAGACTAGATGCAGATGTTTTAAAGTTTGTTGTTGTATGAAAATACTATATCAACGTTATACAAATGTTTGGCTTTGTATTCTGTAAGTAACACACTACGTTATTGATTGTTTAAGACGGATTATTCCAATACACTTTGTAAAATAGTACTTTAATTGTAGTATAATCACTGGAGTATACAGAAAAATTAATGTTATTAACACTATCTATAATTCTTTTGATCCCGTGACAGTTTTCTGACTGGGAGTCCCTTCCCTTTTTTAGTTTTTAGTGTCTTTATTTTCATAACTTTCACTTTTGTTTGTATTGATTACCCTTCTCATAAGTCATAGCTACAAGTGTTAGTTTATTTTGTCTAAAGTACAACATTTTACGGAGGACGACGTATGTAACCCAAGTCTAAATAACATATGATCCTGTTTCTTAATTAAGTAAATTCCAAAGTGTACTTTAACCCTATATTTCCGAGTTGAGTTTAAGTTTTATTTTATACGCGTATAATTACGACCTGAGCCGAAGATGCTGCTCTGAAAGCATTTCATTTTGTTATACATATCGCGGAAGTTTTCGTGAATTCATAATTTCATTTCAATTCAAAGTCTCTCTGTGTTTTTAATTCAAGTGCTCATACCCCTTTCTTATAGTGAATATAGCTAATTCTTACTTATAAAGAGTTGAACGCAATGGTTGCATCAGTTGTGGTGGGCGCGGGTTGGACGTGTGGTAGAGCTCTGGATTTCGGAACTGATATTCCCCGCACTTTAAGGTATTAGTGCGTTATAAGAGTGACATTCAATGATTTAATATAATATATATGGAGGTAATAGAGTGCTGTTGCCTAGTTGTCTTCCCTCTTTTTATTATTTTAAAATTAGGGATGGCGGCAAATAGCTTTAGTGGCTTTGCTATAAGCACAAAATATAAAAACAAACAAAAACATTCACCAGTTGGATACAATTACTATTAACGACGTTTTTGGCCGTAAACCTCATAAATCTCGCTGGTTCGGTCAGTTTAGGAGATTTAGATTAACAAAAACATCTCTATACCGAAAATTTTATAATAAAAATAGATATGTTAAACAGTCTAATTCTATTAATACAGTTAATGAAAGTAAAGATTTGTATGCGGTTTGTTATCCAACAAACGTTGTTATCCAACGTCATAGCCACTGATAATCTCAAACATTCATTATGAAAGAGTTTTATTTGTGTGTTGTTAAACACAAAGCTACGCAATGGACTGTCTGTGCTTTGGCCGTCGCGGGTATCGAAACCTGATTTTTTTAGTGTTGTAAGCCCACAACCTTACCACTGAGCCATTGGGAGGCGAAAAAAATATAGAATAATTTCTAAAATAATATTGAGTTATTCGTTAGTTCAGTTTTAGCTTATCTTAGTGTTTTAAGTTGCATAATGATATATATATATATATATATAAATAAAATAGAATAAAGAATTAAAAAAGCCAAAAGATGGCTCTTCCTGGTTCTTCTTGTTATGTTTTCCATATACATATTTAATATTTTAAATTATAGAATTACTAAACATTTGTTGAAAAGCTTTCATGTTGAAAAATTGCACGAGACTGTATCCAGTCTGTCGTGTATTTTATTTAATCAAGGCTTGAACTGAAATATTTTAACATACTTTGAAAATGATTCCCAGTAAAGATATCAGAGGAAATTTAGAGCAAATAAATTTTTATAGTATCAAATTTATTTAAAAAAAACATATTAAATATTCCGAGAAAGAAAAATTTTTCATACAGCTGTTTCATTAAATCTTCCGAGTCGATTGCAAACCAATTAATTTTCCCTTTTACTTGACGTCAAAGGCAGTAAATATATGTCATTTCTTCATATCAAGTTTGTCACAGATTAAAATGAAATCAAATAACATTTTTGTGAGTATTGCTCATTCAACGATAAAGCCCCAAAAGTATAAAAAATAAACCATAACACCGCTGTAAAAATAAAGAAAATATGGACCCAGATTTTGTATATTTTTTCCTAGACTTACAACCTATAAATCGCGAATGACAAAAATA